GAAGAAGAAGAAGAAGAAGAAACCGCGGCAGAAATATGTCAACACGATACTGTCGGAAGAACAACGATCGCGGCAGGGAGGGAACATCTTTTGGTAGCTAGAAGCGCGTAAGCTACGAGTAAGAGCGAGGAGGGCCGTGAAGCCGGATCTGCGAGAGAAAGGCTCGACCTCAACGGACGCGAAGTTACCGGTGAAAGGCTGCTATAGGATTCTTCAACCAAACGCCCACCCTGGAGGGCGCCGACGTCTCAAGGGAGATCTGAATAGAAACACTTGAAAGAGAACGCAACGCACACTCCTCCTCTATACCCCATTGAGATAATTGAGAGTAGGACCCCATCCCGATTTCCGAGTTCCTACCCCTGATTCATCCGGGCCTTTATTTGAAACGGGGAGATGGTGAAGTTCGTCAGGGTCACCAGTGTCCTCCAGTTTACGCGACCGGAATTCGCCAGATAAAAGGTCATCATAGGCAAGGCGCGATGTTCAAATCGATCCGAGCTCCGCACGTGCATCCGAGTTTCCGTATATCACCGACGGTACGGCCCAGTTAAAGTGTGTGTTACACCTGAATTCTGCCGGTGTGAGACTCCATCTGGATGGACAGTGGGACATACGAAGCGACAAAGCCCACTCTGGGCTTGGATACGCGAAGCTGACGCGAATAGTAGATTGGGGGCAATCACGGCGGCAAATCTATGCCGTAACGGCAGTGGGAAGGGTATTCGGAACGTGAGTGTCGGGACGACAAAGATGATGGGAAGAACCACTGAAGAGGCCTCTTCTGTCGATGAGATCAAAGATATGAAAGATCTCAGAGATTGATAGGATCCTGTCGCGGGATAAGGATTTGAGCGCTCTATGGACTCCGTGCTGGGTGGAGTTATTGGATTGTGCTATATCGTGCTACTTCAAAGAAGTCCCATCCAAACTAGCATATACAGATAGAGGCCCCACGTAAAATAAGCATCAGAGCGACGAATCAAATTCTCCCAACGTAATTTCCTATAACAATAACTAAATACCAAGACTTCGACATCGTAGACAAAGGTCAACAAGACTCTAGTCCTTCCGAAGTTGTTAGTTCGAACAACCTGGTGAAGTATTGGGCCTCTTAGGGACACAATCACAATTCGCTGAAGGCCACCATAGGGTGTGTCCCCCCTCCCCCCCCCCCTCTCTTAAGATTAGAGTCAGAATCGCAAGAGATCATTCCGGCAGAATCACTCAAAGTTCTTGAGCACTCCAAGAATCTGGGCCCTACGAGACAAAGTGCGATAAACCTGCAGCGATGATCCAAGCACAAGGTTGGAACAGCCTAACGGGTCCCATTGCCGACCCAGGATCACCGCTCGCGGCTTCTTGATCTCTTCAAAACCGGACGTCGGTCATTTGCAGATCACGTCCAGAGGTGGTGGGCGTTTGAACGCGCCATGTGTACATCGATATATTCTCCGAGAGCGACAAAGCAAAGCTGGTGCAGCCGAATTGCTTTGTGGAGCGGTCATATGTTATGTAGCGATTCAACTGCGAAGCGTCAGCGGCAGAAGGGAAGGAGTCAGAGTCCCCGGACTTACCGATGCCAGTCTAGCTCCCAGCCAGAGACACCGTTCAGTCCGTGGTGCTGTGTGGCTTGGCAGTTCCAATTGCCGCTCATCTTCGTCCACCACATCCCCTTCAAAAAAGTCCGACGGGAAATAATACGGCGCCCAGACCAGGCCACGGATGGGAAAGTCTTCGGGCAACTGCCTTCCCGTGCCCGACTGTTGTTGAGGGAACTCCGTGGACTCGACGTGCGCGTCAACCACACCGGATCTGCTCATACTGTTCAAACAAAGGACCAACACACTCCACGGAACATGATTTTCGACGTAGATCAGAGCACCTGGAACGTACGACAGGGACCAGAGAAATGCCAACGTAAGATGGAGGAAGGGTAGGATGTTGCGGTCCCCGAGCTTAGCAGCGACAATAGAGATGGCCTTAGACCAGACGGGAAGAGCGTACGAGGTAACTTCATCCGCCGATGTAAAGTTGACATTGACACGATGTTCCGGAGGTGGAGGAGCCTGTCGGAAGTCGCTTACATTGATGGATCCATTTTGTTCCCAGAATTCGCGGTGAATGCGTTGTTTGGCCATGGGGTCGGGGGTGATCGTGGAGCTGCATTCCTGCTGCTGCTGCTGCTGCTGATCGATCTGGCAGCCTTTAAGTCTATCGTGGTTAGCACGGAAGGATTTCCATAGGTAGTTCTCTTCCAACCCATAGTCGAGAAGGAAGGCAATGAGCGCAGAAGCCACCTCGGGTCCCTGGACCTTCCAATTGACACCGGATCGTGCTATGTGGTTCTCCAATTCTAATGTAAACCGGTCAACCTGAAAGCAATACTGGTCGATGGAACCCTTGGTGAACAGAAGACCGGCGGCAGTCACCAGAGAACTCTCGAGCTTTGAATATTTGGAATGGGTCGAATCCAACCTAGACTTCTGGCCTGAGCACGCGTCCAATAAGGGGTTAAGCAATAGCATAATGGAATCCCGGGCGTTGGGGAACGGGTCGACAGAGATAAGGGCCTTTGAGTAGTGAAACAACTGGCAGACAATATTGGGCCTGGCGAGAACTGCAAGGTGATGCTGGATCCTCCCAGTGTCGGGCGAGCGGTCTGCGGCCTTCTGGTACCACATACGAGCCACGTTGGACCACGTCTCTCGATCTTTTAGGTCAGCTTCCTCGATAGCCATCCGATAGCGAGCTAAGTCGCCCAAACATTCTATCCAGGTCTCGTGGAAAGCGGGCACGGATTCCATGAGAAGCCCCATCATTTGATACGCGAGGTAAACAAAGCTTAGCATATGCTCCAAAGAGTACGGAAGACGATGACGAAGTAGCTCAAGGAAAGAATGGATACCATGTCTCCACATGCGGGCCGGCATTGCATACTTGGTGGGCAGGCGCCGCAATGCCGGTGATGCTGTCGGGTGTTGGGATGCTAGGAAGAAATCATGGTGCTCATGGAGGAGGGTGCGATGTAAGGCGATCAACGCCTGCCACTGCTCGTTGGAGAGTTTGGTGGTGGTTTGAGCTTGTTGCGCACATATCTCGACGCACTTCTTCTCGACCATGACCAGGCCAGCGTAGATGCCCTTGACCTCGTTGACGAGCTGTTCCAGGGAGATGGACCGGGTTTCAGGCTGGAGTAAAGGTTTGATGTCTGCCTCGGCCGAGAAATCATCCTGGGACGAGTGAGCCGACGCGGGCCGTGCATCATAGCTTCTCCTTTCCGACTCTGCGTGCTGAGCCAGAGTACGACTGTTCTGACGCGCTAAGGTAGCAAACTGGTGTGGCCCCGGCCCCGGAGAGGAGACGGGCGTCTGCTGAGCGGATTGGTAGCCCCTTGCTGAAGGCGACCGTCTACTCGAGGTGGGGGGTGGAGAGTGAATGTGTGAGAAATCGTCCTCATGGCGGCCGGGAGAGTAGGCTGGAGAGGCCGAGCGCGGTCCGATCTTGCTGGGTCGCCATTCGGTTTCGGCTGCTGGGCGTTTGAATGGTCTTATTTCTTTGGCCTGTTGGAAAGGTCTGACAGAGTCTTCAAGGCTCAACCTGTTCAAGGACTCGCTGGGCTCCTGTTTGATTATCGGCGAAGCAAGGCTCGGAGAACTCCCAGTCCTACGTCATGAAAAATTCAGAACCCTGGTAGGTGGTCGACAGGAGGGAGAGAGAGAACGGTACCATTGTTGAGGACGCTTCTCGACCAACAATTCAGCGGCAATCGCCGTGTAGGCTGATCCGCCACCGCCAGGTGGAGTGGATCTCAGATGCGGCAGCCGTTTATCTCCGGGATTCGGATAGGCCATGGCATCGAAAGTCCCCTAGGAGGCTTTAGCGTCAGTCTCTGGAAGCACGAGAGGGGTCGCTCAGTGGAAAGTTTTTATCCGGTACAAATTCCTTGACTTTTGTGGAGGAGCTTTGGCGATCCTGTGTCCGGAGTATGGCTGATAACTCACCCTAAAACCCCTCTTGGTTTGACAGACCCAGCGAAATATCAGGTCCTTGTGCACAAGAAGGTGGCGCGATGCCTGAATCCCGTGCTAGTGGTTCCTAGAGGCGGTAAAGTCAGGAACTGAACCCGTCTTGGTGATGGTGGCGACGGAATACAATCCATAAGATGGATGATCCAGAGATGGCCCATGGCCGGCAGTCCTCAGCCTCTCTTTTGTAATTTCCCAGACAGGGCGAGGCGCCCTCTTTTGGGGCCGGCGTTCGCATGGTTCGCACGAGTTCTCCCTGCAGGCGAAAAGGCAGCCACTACTGCAATCACTCCGACCAGTGGTTGCGCCAGAGCCTCACCGGTCGCACCACACCAACGCTTGTACCCGTCAGCCTTTTGCCTCACCTTGACCAGATGTTCAGCTACGCACCGCCCACCACCACAGCCCCCTTTATAACTATGGCCAAAACATCATCTTCCTCATCTGGCTACGACATGCCCTCTATATAACAAGTCCACCAATCGAGGTCCGTCACCAGAACGTGACGCATTCTACGCGGGGAAAGACTCCAAGAAGGCCGTCCAAGAGCGGCACGACGTGTTTGTAGTCCCACAAAGGCGACCCAGCCTCAGTGCGTCAGGCAGCGTTCCCTTTGTTCGCATTGGGGCAAAGGGTGGATATGCAGGTGAGAGGAGCCACGTTCACTGACCGGGTTCAGCAGCGTCAGTTGCTCTCCACCCACGAATTTATTGGGCTTACTTGTAGACTCATGTGAGACCAATCAATTTAACCTAAACTTGATCGGGGACGTGGCTACCATGGAGGCTTCGATATCGAAGATATACTCAGCCCACCTCTGAGAAAAAGAGATACTCCAGGAAAGAGATTTTTTCCTTTCTTTTTCCTCAAGGAAGGGGGGCTAGGAAAAGAGGGGGAGG